TTAAGGAGACCATCTGCTGAAAACACAGTTTTCCAAGGACCCTGCATCAGAGTGCCTGGGGACACTTATAAAAGAACACATTTCTGGTCCTCCAATATTCATTGTGTTAAAAGTAAGTTGTTTTTTATAAGTCCCCAATGCCACTGCATGATCCGTGCAGATGTGGTGGTGAGTGGCAAATTCAATAAGCCCCCTAGTCTCTAAGGCCGAGAAATAAAACAGTTGAGTGGAGGTAACAGCTGGGGCAGGGCCAGGAGCATTCTTTGGGGGTTGCTTTTATGAGAGGAGTACTTGCAGTTCGGTTCCTAGAAGCCTTGCTTTATAATAATAATAGAATAATACAACCACAATAATAAAGAGCCAGCAGCCATTGAGTGCTTTCAAAATTAGATGTATCCTAAGCTTATCACATGGACAAGTATCTAATCCTCCTGACAACTCTAAAAGGTAGAAACAATTAGTGTATCCAATTTATAGATGAAGAAACTAAGGCACAGAAAGGCAATTAGCTTATCTAAGATCACACAGCCAGAAAGAAGCAGAGCTGGAGCTTTACATTTGGGCAGGCCAACCTCTAACTATAAGTGTGACCACTAAACCTGTTGCTAGATGTGAACTTTGATCTTTTGAGAGAATGAATAATGGACTCTGGTCTTATCAAGACAGGAATGAGAGGTTTTGCTTTGAGTGGTTTGTTGATAATTTAATGCCAGGAAGTCTTTGGGTCACTAGTATCTGCCAGGCACTGTTTAAGGCCCTGGATATTTGTAAATAAAGAAAGCACCATGCCTCTGATTTCCCAGTCCTTAAATTGACCTGAGCCACATCATCACGTATGTCCCCATATACTTGCAGTGGTTAGTGCTGCTCTGAGCACATATGAAGCAGGAGTGTACTTGGACCAGCCACTGTGGAGATGGCTCCATGGTGTCTGGGGCTTCACCTGGCTCAGAAGGGTTTGGTAACTGAAACCCATTCATACAACTTCCTCTATGAGGCTCCGGCTTTTCATAGCAGGGCAGCTGGATTCCAAGAGGGCACTCTCAACTGGTCATCAAAGAAGTAAACATTTCAGAACTAAGCAAGAAGCCATGTGGCTTTTTAGTACCCAGAGTTTGCCAATCACCCAGTCCTAGTTCCACCTAATCCATTAGTAGCCTGCCCAGATTCAAAGGCAGGGAACATAGGTCCTTGGTGGGTTTTGGTCCATGAATATTATAGTTTTAAAATCAGAATTTGTTAAAAAGGAGAATGACTCTTTTAACTGTGGACATCTATCTGTCACCAACTACGCTGTGGAGGGGGAGATTTGTTTTGGTTTTTAGCC